GAGGGGAGCGGGCCCGGGCCCGGGCCGCCGTAACACACATTGCCCAGCACGAGCCTTCCCGTGCCCAGCGCCAAGACACCCAGGCAGGCGGAAAATAAAACACATAAATCCACCTTAAAAAGGGAATGCTACCTCAGCAAGAACCCACCGAGCACAAAACCCTGCGAGTGTCCGGATTATCTTCAGTCCCGAATGCGGCGTCATCTCCCTGGTGCACAATGACACATATGTGCATTATTTACCTCTCTCTAGGTGCACGCCAGCACATACACGCGTTATTTACCGTTTCACTGGGTACCCGCCAGCACATATGTGCGTTATGTACCTCTCTCTGGGTGCACGCTGGCACACACGTGTGTTATTTACCCTCTCTCCGGGTGCCAGCACTCATGTGCCTTCCCCTCGCAGGCAGACAAGAGGCCTGCTGCGCGCTGCACTGCAGCCGAGGCGGACGCGGAGTGTTGGCCAACTCCTCGGGAAGTGCCACGAGATGGTTAGTATCCACAGAAAGCAGATGGTGTCTGGATTCAAAACCTCATCCAAAGGAAACACTCATAGAAAGCCGCATGGAATTACACGTTTGCTTATTCTGCAACTTTTGCATTGGTTTTTACATTCCTTCTGAGATTTTCCAGTGAATATTACTCTAGTTTTGCACTGGTGCAGGTCAAGTATAGTTCAAATTTGTAAAAAAAAAAAAAAGAAATAAAAAAATTACCAACACCAATCCCTAATGTCGATTAGACTTAAATATATCCTCTTTAGGAAGAGGAAGGCTGAATCAGCTCCACTGGGATTCCAAGCTGCTAATTCAGAGAGGTGGAAGAGTTTAAATCTGAGGAGGTGATTTTGAAGTGCATGCTCAGTCATAAACAAGTGTGTTACCATTCTTTTTTTTTTTTCTGTATTCTATTTTTGCAAGAGTAGCTGTTTCACCTACGTTTCAAGTAGAGGGATGAAGGTCACCGTTCTCTTGTTAAAAGAAAGGCGAGAAGTGTAAACGACCCAAAATAACCTCAAGAAGTGGCTCCTCGGATATGCTGGAGACAGAACAGAGGCTTCCTGCACACAAACACCCTTGAAAGGAACCATGAAAGGACTGGGGGTTGGACTAGATGATCTCTAAGGTCCCTTCCAACCTTAATGATTCTATAATGATTCTACAACTGCCACCCTGCCTGTTCCACAAGAGTCACCGTTTGCACTAGGAATCTCTCGCGCACCAAGCAGCTGTCCTGAAGCTGTCCACGGATTTACGCACATCTGAGGTGGGATTATATCCCTAAGTATAGCGATAGCCACAGTGATAATTAGTTGTACACTGATTGACTTGGACATCTTTGAGGCTAAAATCAGAAGCAACCTGTACACGTCCTCAAAAAAAGATGCTGGGACATATCCTGAAGAAATGGTGAATGAAATGGCCATTTTGGGGTCAGCTGGAGGGACGTCACCACCCAGCATGGCCATCTAGGCTGCACAGGACTAACATGCGAGGCAAAGGGCTGTTTCTTCCAGCTGCTCTCTGCTTACGCTCCCTTCTTAGGCAGGGAAGCTGCTGTAGAAAGCTGATGCTGTGGTTTCAGTGTGTGGCTAGTTCTGCTTTCATTTCCCACACAGTTTTAGGGAAATCACTTCATGCCCCTGTTTTTTAACTTTCCTCCAATGCAAAATCTCTCCCAGGAGACATTCTGAAGCACAAAGTCACGGTCTCTTGTGACTTCTGGTATGCTGTGAAAGTGCAAGTATCACAGAACTGCAGCACAGGGAGTCTTCTGAAGCCCGAGTGGTACATAAGTGTTCTTCTGTGTATGATGGATTAGTGAAAGGAACACTTTTAATATTTTTAACAAGCATTGTACCCTAGAAATTAAATAATGTCCTGATCTTTTTTTTTTCTGAGTTTTAAAAAGCCTGAACCAAAAGCTATCAGATGTTAAAAGTAAATAACAAATTACTAAAATAATCACTGCCTCTCTGTTTTCTGGCTACTTACCTGTAAAAAAAACTACATAAAATGATTGGATTCTTAAAAAAATAATATGGCAAAAGGTTCCTGTAGACCAAAGAACTACAGAAAATGCAGCAGTTATACAGAAGGACATATATCTTTACATTTATGATTTGCTCCCAGTGAGATGGAGTGTTCTGACTGCTTGCAGCTATCACTTCCACACTGGGTGCTACATATTGAGAAAAGATGTAAATAATCATTCCAGTTGGGGAAAAAAATCAATAATAGAGATAAAAAAAAAAAACAATGCTCCACAGCATGTGCAGCACTGACTTGTCAGGCTTGCAAAAATGGCTGCATTATTGATGCCTCTGAACAGCCCTAGTATTTGAGGGTCTATTTCTTTGTTCCTATTCCATAGGAGCCCATGGCTGCATATAATTGTATAATTAGGTTGAAGAGATTTTTTGAGGATCAATAAAATGCCATTTAAGAAATGCTCCTCCCCAAAAAAACAACACAAAAGATTTCTTCAACTGTGGAAATGTAAAGCAAAGACAAGAAGCAGGAGATTGGCCTTTCATATGTAGTTAACTTCGACATAGCCTCTGGCTTTCAATTATTTCTTGGAAAATACTGATACAAAATTAGTTTAAGACATACTTTGGGTCACCGTAAAATACTTTGATGCCGTCATGTTTCTTAATATTTTTTACCCAGTACAATCGGTCAGCGTATATTGCTTTTTGAAGCCCTAACTCACTGACCAGTATCTATCACCTATTATTTCTTCGGCTTATTGGGAAGATCATGATTAACTGATGTTTTTTATTATTCCTTTGCTACATAGATTAACTTCTCTGCTGTAACGACTAACCACAATTAACCTGGTGAGGAGTGAAACCCTGACAACTTTCGCAGAGACTCTACAGGAACTGGGACTCCCTGGGCTGGGCGCTCTCCAGAACTGTAGCTGTGGTGCAGGGCAGCAAACAAACTCGTCACGGGGATTTGGATTCCGCTGGGAGAAGCTAAGCAAAGAATGGGGCTTGCAGGAAAGAGCTGTTCCCCTCCAGATCTATCCAACATGGAATCTTGTTTCTCCTTTTCTCATAAATAGGGATGAGGAGGTAAACGAGACATACGGTGACAGATGGCACATGTTAAAAATACACTTTAATTATGGGAATTGGACAGAGTTCTTTATGCAGGTAAGGCTTTTACAGATGCTTTTTTTTAGAGGAAAAAAAAAATCCAATGCTCCTAGGCAGCTCCTGATAGAGAAAACCCAGGGCTCCATGTACTGTTGACTCTAGTCATTTCAATAGACAGCAAAATAATGTGCTTATTAGAATCCCACAGTTCAACTTATCCTGTAAAAATGTTTGTTTCCTTCCATCTGCTGCCTTTGCAGGGAAGGAAAATCAGTCTGTTCCGGGACCAGGAAGTTCTTCAACGTTTAAACAGCTAGCTATAAAAATGAAAACTGTAGCATGCATAATCATACCTAAAAATATCCTGCATTTTGTTCACACATACAACCCAGCCCTGCTGTAATTCCTAAGTAATACAGGGCTAGATAAAGTACACGGACTCATAGATGTGGGCAGAATAAGTCAGCTGTGACAGCAGATGCACGTGTCTGGCTCTTGCACTCTCGTAAGGTTTTTACTCTTATTAAAACATGTTTTGTTTTTACTGAGAGCTGCTTGCTGCCTCCTGCCTCTATGTCTTTGTGCACTGTATCCATCAAAGCAGTTTGCAGAGGAGATTAAAGCGAGAGCCAGACTCTTTGTGATCAATACAGACCCACAGCATTTGAATTTAAACCAGGCACCCTGTGCAAAGCCCAGTCCTGACATTAGGGCTGTGCTCCAAGCCTAATCCTGAAGAAGCAGGTCGCCGCTTAGCACTTCTGAAGGGACAAAACAAGTGCTATAAAAGGCAGCAAGGGACGCATCCCGCCATGCTGATAGCAAACCTGAGAGCAACCAGAGTGTGAGACATGGCTGTTCTGCAGTTCACTGCTGGGAGAAGTGCTGGGTGTATTCTGCAGTCAATTTTTATGCTGTCTGCGCTTTCAGTATCTGCTTTCCAGAAATCTCAGCAACCTTGCCAGGTTACCATAGCAGCCGTGCAAGACGTGAGATGTGCTGTGTGCTGTCTGCAGCCTAGAGGTGCCACTGCACTGTAGCTATGGAGCTAGTCAGCAGTTTTGTCCTTGCACAGCAGAAGCTGCCTGTGCGTCCCAGTTACTAACACTTAATTGTAACTCCCACAGCAACACACACATCAAGAGACTCATTTATTAGAATCTCTTCTTGTGGGATATGTGCAGGCAATGGCATCACAGAGGGAAGCTGACCCGGGATATGAAATACTTGGACACTAGGCCAGGACCCTGCATCACACAGGAGCCGAAGGTCTTCTTATTTAGCTCAGTTCCCTTGTTCTGTGCCCACAAATCTACAGGAATTGTCATTCCTGTCAACATTCTTGTGCCCAATGGCTGTATCATGTTGATATTACTCCCATAGGAAAGGTGAATAAGCTATTCTAGACAGAGCACTGGGGACTAAAGCCTGTTAACATCCTTCATTCCCCATCCAAATACAAAGCCTGGACTTCTCAGGCAGTATCAGTCCAGCAAGGCCATTTAAATTATTTAAATAAGAAGGGAGGATCCTACAAAAGCAAACGGCATTTTTTCTTCTGCATGACAATGAAAAGCAGTCTTAGAGGTAGGAAGCAAGCAGTGCTTGATAGATTTAGAACTATCTGTCTCAATCTATCTATCCATCTAGAACTAACTGTCTTCAGCAGGGTCTAAACAAACCTCTTAACTCTCATCAAGAATTACAAGGAGAGCTTAGCACATTTCCATCGCAGCTTGGCAGGAGCCAGAGCAATAAAACGAGTTATTTTGGAGATACCACTCCTGTTGAGAGCAGCACAAGCCTCTGCTGATCACTGTGTGTACTGGAAGTGCAGTTTATGCTAAAACAAACAAACAAAAACTCAACCATTTATTTAATGTAATACAGGGGAGCTTAAGTGTCTCAGGAAAGAGCCAGCCCTTGGATGAGCAAAGGCTGACATGTGGAATCCCCTGGGAGGGCAGGCAGAGAAGGAGGTGATTTGCAGATTCTGGGGGACAGTTTCCAAGTAGTTTATAATTATCTTTACAGGAATCCCTACCCCGGCCAAGCTAAAACTCCAAAATGCTTCAAGAGTAAATGCATGCGAAAGCAAATGGTTTGTTCCTTTCCCCGAGACACTGCTTTTGGCTTCGCTTTACAAATCCTGGTTGCTGAGATACACCCACACCAGCTGAATAGCTGAGTCAAGCAGATTGTTACAACGCAGTGTAACAGCCCAGCAGAAATAAAAACGGAATAAGAAAACTTTTAGATGTTATCTTTGAAATATATGTGTGGGAAAATTATACCCCCAAAGCATTGTCCTTTTAATGCATTGCAAATATTTTAAAAAAATTTATTGTAAAATATTTTTGCAATTTTCTTTTTAAAAAGTATTCATAATTTTGATTCATTTGAAAACATCTTTTATCAGCCTGAGCACTTAACTGTTTATAATAGTTTAAAATAAAATAACTAAGTTCTAATAGTAAAAAATTTCAGTGTTAAGAATTGCTGTGAATAGAATTCATTACCCTTTGCAGAATCAGGATCTCTTATCATTAATGTTAAGCCCAATATCCAAGACTTCTTCTTTCCTAGGAGCTAGCTGGGGAAAAAAAATAATAATAAAGGGCTTTAGATCATTTTTACAAATACTTCTATGGTAAACAGTACCTAATTTATCACTGTAAAGCCTCTTTCTTTCCTGTTTTCCATATATAAGGTCAAGCACTTAGTCAAAGATTTGTGTGGAGAGGGGGAGGAAAAGGTAATGCACTCCGTGTTTTACGTTACTAACCAGCTACAGCAGGGAAATAGCCTAAAGAATTTGGCTCTCTCGACCGCAGCAGGGCCATGTCAGCACTTCTGCTGCATCTCACCTTCTCCAGAGACCGGCACCCTATCGCGGGTCAGTGCTGGACACAGATCCTCCCGCCACTGCCATCATGTTGTTAATTGTGTTGTTAATGTAAGGAGGACTCTGCTGGCTGAGTTTTACCCCAAACTCTAACAGAGAATGGGGCAAAGATTCACAAAATTAGTTCTGCAAATGGGAAGGGAAACAGTTCCCATGCGAGGAGGGAAAACCCACACAACCCACAGGCCTCTCTGTACTGGCCAAGATGGCTTCTGAGGGCTGAGGGCCTCAGGGATCCTGTGAGGGGAGATCCCGTGAGGGGGACCCGCTCCGGCGTCGGGCTCGGGACGAGGCTCCCAATCCAACCCGCCTTCCCGCCGGGAACCA